ATAAAGCTACCCGCCACCTATTCCTCCAAACACAGCAAAACATTGGAGCGCAAGAGCTCCCTAAAAATGGGCCCGCTCCATTGCTTTGCAAAGGTACCATACAGCTCGATTCTAATAGGGCAGACGAAGATATGGTCGAGTTTATTGAAAATGTAATAAAGTTTAAAAGGGGCTAATTTTAATATTTGACCAACAAATGGCACCCTCCTCTTCTGAAATGAAAAGGCAACGGCGCAAGAATCCTCGGTCTGTGCAGAAAGACAATAAGAACGCGGTGGATATAAGTAGCATTGATGCGGATTTTCATTTTCTCAATTCCTTTGCATACAGCAGCAATAGCGACAATGAAGCGGACCATCCGTTTTTTGACAAGGAGGCCATCAAAGATTACATATCCAACGTATACGGTATCGATGTTGATTCACAACCGAATTGTGATGATTCGACATCTGCAGATGACTTTCTGGCCAGTTGCGTGGAGCATATGTCGCTACAACAGATATTTGCTTCTGGGCCTATTTTTGGCCAAGATTCTGAGGAACATGATCCCGGGGGTTTTCCCATCGAGTACGAGTCCCCTTACTCTAGTGATGAGTCTGATGAGATAGACCGGTTTCTCCAGTATGATATGCCGGGGTTTGAAAAGTCGGGGACCATTTTTGATCCCTCTGCCCTTTCTCAGTTAAGGCCGAGAAAATCGGGAAATTCAAAATCAGCCAATTGCAATCGCTCGATCGGCCTAAAGATTAGCCAAATCAACAAAATCAAAGATGACATTTTGTGTTCGTGGCTTGCAAGAAATTCGCGTGAATTTGAATTTCCCTCGTCTTTTGATAATGCTGCCAGGGAAAAACTTCACAAGATCGCTCACCATTTGCAATGCAAATCCAAAAGCCACGGACCAAAGTCTGCTAGGACATTGGTGTTTATGAAAACCGAGAAAACACCGCTGAATTACGCCTCAATTCCGAAACGCACAGCATTGGCCATTTCGTCGCTATTTTCGGATATTATTCAACTTCAAAGAGACAGCTTATTTGGTGGAGCTGTCGATTTTGACAAGAAAAAAAGAGGAGCAAAAAAAACGCCCGGGCCTTTTGAAACCCAAGCCTCAAAAGCCAGGCTGCGCCCAGGCCAAATTGTGGGCGAGTCTGCACCTCCCATTTCCGAGTCTAACGTTGGAAACGTCCTGCTGAGGAAGCTGGGCTGGTCTCCTGGATCCTCTATTGGGAAAAACACCTCGAATTTGAGCTCCTCTAAAGTGGAAGATATATACGACCAGGCGATAAAGGTCACCTTTAGAAAGAAAAATTCCGGGCTGGGTAGCTGAACTCAAACTTGTCACTATCGATCCGGATGTGAATATTTTGAAACTCACGCGTTTCCTTCGTTTTGTATCCGGTTGATCCTGCAAGCACCGAGTGGATTTCGACCTTTTCCGGCAATTTATTATAAAACTAAGGTATTGTTTCCGTTGTACCGCCCTGACACATGAGCAGCATTGATGTCGCCAAAATTGCAAGTAAAATTTTACGGATTGGGAGTTTATTTTAAAAATGGACTGGGATTCTCCTTGGCGCCACATTGAGATGGGCGAATGCGATCCCATCTTGGAGCTCAATGAAGCATACAAACGGGACACGGATCCAAAAAAAATAAACCTCAGCATCGGCGCCTATAGAAATGATGAATCATCGCCTGTTGTTTTGGACTGTGTCAAAAAGGCCGAAAAGGAGCTTCTCCCCAAAAAATATCCCTTCAAGGAATATGCACCGATGGGTGGGGTGGACGAGTTTTGCGAGCTCTCAAAAAAGCTGATTTATGGAGAAAATGTCTGCACGCAAAATGTATGCAAATGACTTATCATTTTAGGTCGCAATCGTCCAGTCAATCTCTGGCACGGGTGCATTGAATTTGGGAGCCTCGTTTCTTTCCAAATTTTTGCCCGGAGAAACACGAAAAGTTCTGATCTCCGATCCGTCTTGGAGCAACCACAAAAGCATCTTTACTAATTTCGAGTTCCAAACTGAACAGTATCCCTATTACGACAGGCGCACTCACACGCTAGACGAGCAGGGCATGCTCAAGGCTCTTCAGGACGCCCCTTCTGGCAGCATCGTTGTGCTGCATGCCTGTGGACATAACCCAACGGGACTGGACCCATCCCCACTGCAGTGGAGGCTAATTCATGAGGTTATCAAACAAAAGGCCCATATCTCGTTTTTTGATTTGGCTTATCAAGGATTTGCAACAGGCGACTTGGAAAAGGATATCTTTGCAATTCGCCATTTCATCACGGATCCCCCCGGTCCGATTCTTGTTGCCCAAAGCTATGCCAAGAACATGGGCATGTATGGCGAAAGAGTTGGCACTCTATCTGTGTGGTGTTCAGGAAAACCCCAAAAGGAAGCTGTTGTCTCGCAGCTAAAGCTAATAATAAGAAAAATCTATTCCTCTCCGCCAATCCATGGCGCTCGACTGGTGTCGCTGGTGCTTGGAAATGAGGAATTGAAAAGATCGTGGCAGGCCGAATTGAAAGAAATGACCGCCAGGATCATCGCTATGCGCACATCCCTTCGTGAAGAGCTTGAAAAACTGGCCCCCAGCAGAACCTGGAAGCACATTACTGACCAAATCGGAATGTTCTGCTATACCGGCCTCACGCCAGAGCAGTGTCATCGCCTTTTGACCGAATTCCATATCTACATGACGTCGGATGGAAGAATGAGCATGGCCGGTGTCACCACCTCCAATGTGAAGACCATTGCCGCTGTATTCTCAAAAGTTTTGCAGTAAATTGGATTGGATTGGATTGAATTGAATTGAATTTACAAACATTTTAAATAAAATCTGCCAGCCAGCGCACCGCCCATGAATCCAGGTCAAAACTCCAAGTTTGAGCGTTTGAAGATCAACAGGGAAACGGTACGATCACGATCCCCTTTTCATCTCTAGGCCTGTCCAATGCTTGTCCACATGTATTGCAGAGAAGGCGGATTTCATTCTGTCTCTGCTTTCCTGTCTCAAGAAACATTGCCTGTTGGCGATGAAGTCGTCATTTATGCATGGTATGCTATCCTTTACACAATGCTAGGAAAGACACCACCCTCAAGGAGCTTTCCAACATGATCAAGGAAATCCACTTGGACTCCAGGAAACTTGATGCAAAATTTATATTTCGCATCATAAACATCGACTCCAGAGGTTGCAGGGTTCGCGAATTGGGCACCGTGTTCAACGCACCTGGGAAAAAATCATACACTCGCCAGGACCCACCTCGGCTGGATCTGGAATCAGTTCCAGACGACAATCGCACTTTGGATGATGGCCGCTTCATTCAAGGAGATTATATTGACGTTGCCATATTTCTGCCACTCAAGTGATTGCCTTTTGTATAAATTAATTTTATTTCCAAGCACGCTGTTGTGGCGCCCCGCCATCCATTCAAAAAGCCTTTCTTGAGTACATCGGGCCCACCCATAAATTACTATTTACAACAAGAAGACACTGAGGAGGGAGACGAAGGAGGAGGAGGAGAAGGATAAATGCATTGTTTAACGATGCGGAATAAATGGCTGTTTTCCAAGGCAGCGGCAACCCTCTCCTTGTCATTTAGCTGTTTATTGATTGCCTCGTCAGATTGATGCGTACCCTTTTTGATTTCCACAGAAATCTTGTAATACGGCGATAGGGAGAACTGCAATTTAACAATAACGCAAAGTCCAATTAAAGTGGCCATACTGCAATGAGGTATTGTGGGTGTAACCAGCACCTTCACCATACGATAGCTGTCTTCGTTTAGGATCAAAATATCGGACATGGAAACCACATTAAGCTGCTCCAAGGAAAGGGGATGCTCTGGATCCCGGATATTTCGAATGAAATCTAGAATAAGCAGCCATTTATGCATTACCAAACACTTCGAACACGAGAAATTCATCTTGGACATCGTCATTGTATGCGTCTGGGATAAGGGAATAGTCCAGCTCCGGAATAAGGGACTCTTTGATTTGAGGGCTTTCGTTTTCAAGAAACATAAAGTTAAAAAAAACAGGTCCCAGCGAGGATTGAACTCACGACCTACTCCTTACTAGGGAGTCGCAACTACCGCTGTGCTATGGGACCGACGAAGGGATCAGATTAATTTTATATATGATAGTTTTATAACTTGAACCATCTCAAGTTGCTATGAAGTTTCGGATGGATAACTTTCTATGGGTGTTCCATTAAACCTATTTACAAATACATCTCCTCCCCATCAATTAGATGCACTTAAAAGCGACCCGAAGGTTTATTTTTTGGACAATCTCTCTGGAAAGATAACGCCGATCGACCTTGAGATAAAATCAGCTTTAGAAATATATCTCAATCAATGTGAGGGCCACGATGCTATTGGCTCTAGCTATGCAATGCAACCCCCAATCAATGCGCCACAAAGTAGAAATGAATTGAGGCTAAGGTATCCTGTTTCAAGATCGCGAAATGAAGAGCCCATCACAGTATCGGCCAGGAATCGCATTTCAACCTTGAGGAATCTAGAAAGATGGACCATCAATCTATCGCAAAATCAGTAAATGGGGCTCTTCATTTAAATGTAATTTTCAATTAGTTGGATTTTTTAATTATAAATTCGTGATGATTAGTAAAAGGTTCGAGTTCACTCGGGATTCTAGGGACTTTTGTAATTTGCATCAAATTACTTGACCGTTCCATTTGTTCTCAACAGATATAATGGATAGAAGTTGCATTATAGTTGTGGTGCAAGTCAAAGGCAGGTCAGATATTTTTGATTGATCTTGAACCATTGCTTTAAAGGCTCAAATCATTGGCGGATGTCAATCGTACATTTTCCTTATTGAGGGTGTCCCTGGATTCTCGAGTTGCACAAATGAAATTACTTAAATCTGATGATTGGCTTTTCAGTGGGACATTCAAAAAGCATAAAATTTTAATAAAATATTCAAGGATACACACATCCCAATTGGCATCGCCATCTCTAGGCAGTCCTGATGATACCGGCAGCCATGAGTTTGCGAATCTTGTTCGCAATCAGAGGATTCTTCATATGATCGTGGATCGCGCGAGGATCGCTTTGCATTTGTTGAAGGATGGATTGCATCACGGGATCGGTCATCAGGCTTCTTATTTCGGGGTCCGCCATTGCCCTTTGAAGGGTCTCCTCGGAAGATTCATTCATAGAGGCCTTCTGGCTTTCCAAGTAACATTTTGCGAGATGCTGCTCAATCTCGGCTGAATGGCGATTTTCAGTATCTTTCGACTTGGCCTCAAAACAGGTGTCCAGGCATTTTTGGTATTCCTTAAGCCCATATAAAATGGACGCCTTTCGCAGATAGGCCTTGATAAAGCTTGGGTCAAGCTCAATGCAGCGGTCGCAATCTCTGATTGCCTCATGAAAGGCCGCTAGTTTAGTATAGCATGCTGCTCGATTTGAATAGCCTCTGGGATCCTTATCATTTCTAGCGATGGCCTCGGTATACCGATTGAGAGCCTCCACGAACTCCCCTTTTTTGAAGAGCTCATTTCCCTTTTCTCTCTCCGAGTCCGAAAGTTCGGGTGAAAAATAGGCCGCCTTCTTTGCTGCTAAAATGTTTTTTTCTGTCTCTTTGAGCTTTTCTAGAATTTCGGGTGAACGATGCTCAGCCAAGCTCTTGTTAAAATACTCAACGGCCTTGTTGGGCATTTCCATCTTCAAATATGCCGACCCGATGCGCCCAAAGGCCTTGGCAATCAGTTTGAAGTCCATTCTAAGGGAGCGTCCCCTCTCTATGCATTCCAAGCACACTTTGATGCACTCATCCCAGTTTTGCTGTTCAAAGTAGACGGCCGATTTGTTCAGAAGAATGGGAATAGCATCCGGTTCCAAGGAGAGGGCTTCATCGTAATAGGAAAGGGCAGCCTCAAAATTTTTCTTTTTGAACTCCGCATTTCCCTTGTTCTTGATTTCCTCAACCGGATTGGCTAACGTCGATGGTTTCTTAATGGAGTCGTTCTTTGGCGCAGATACGCTTTCCTTGCACGCTGCTTCTTTGCAGCTTTTAAGGTTTTCCTCTTTCAACCCAGAATTTTCCTTTGCGCAGCAGGAGGCTTTGGAACACTCACTGGAGGCCGCTGAGTCCGCTTGGCATTGAGACTCCGAAGACGATGCACTGGCCGGAGATGTCTTTGGAAAAGGCGGAGCGCCAAATGAAGCATTAAGTCCCATCGCCACAAACATCGCCTGCATGATACGCTGATCCTGCATATGCTTCGAGAGGGCAGATGGATTTTGGCGAATTTCATTGATTTTCTGAATAAAATCTGGCTGTGCTATGAATTGTCTGGTACCTGGATCTGTGAATAGACGACCCATGGCCTCTTCAGATGCAAAAGGATTAAGTAGGTTGCTTTCCAGCGATGGGGGTGATGCGGCAACGCGTACATCTTCCAGTCCTTTTTGGAGAGCAGTGGAGCTGGGCTCCAACTCCAGGCCCTTATTGTAGGCCTCTTCGGCTTCCGTAAACCTATTGAGCCCATGCAATGCTGCACCCTTCCGCCCATATCCCTTAGACCATGTGGGCTGCAGCTTTATAGTCTCTTCTGCATCCTCGAGCGCCAGATCAAATTTCTTCAAAGCAGCATTGGCTGCCGAGCGGTTAGAATACAGAACATGATTGGAGGAGTCTAATTTTATGGCCTCTGAAAACGAGGCAATTGCTTGCTCATATTGTCCTTGGGCAAACGCCGTATTTCCTTGTTGCTTAAATGCATCAGCCATTTGAAGGTTTAAAATTGACAAGTGAAAACCAGACGGCTTTATATAGGGTTAGCATGTTCCAGAAATTTCTGTAAATTTATTTTTTAAAGCCATTTTAATTATCTCTTTGTCCTGATAGGGTTTCGTTTCATTTTATCGTCTCCACCACGAGACGTCAAAATTGAGCGGAAGAATATGGGGACACAGAAATGGCTTTTCTTTTGTTTTTGCAATGATGCAACTTTCTTCCAAGACATCAACCCTACAGCACCAAGGTGCTAGTTTCGATCGCATCTTGCTATATATGCGATTGTCACAACCGGGTTTCATGGTTACTAGTTTTCAAGCTGAACTCTTTATTTGTTACTCTACTCTTTATTTGTTGGTCTTTATCCTTTGTTTTGTCCTTTTGCTTATTGTTTGTTTATGCTATTTTTCATAATTCTATTATTTTGGCGATGATGGTTAAAGGCGAATAAGAGGGCGAATGGTTTAATTATCGGTTTGCTTCCGTGCTTAGATATATATCTGAGCCATTGTTACCAATAAACATTTCTGCAAACTGAATTGTCGCATAGATCATCTCACTGCGGATTTGTATGTTATGGGCCCAAATATGAGGCCCATTATGGCTCTGACCATGGATTTATTGACTAATTCCAAAATTTCTTGACTATTCCGGAAAAGGACCATCTTGCAGATGGATCCGCCATATACGTAGAGGCAGGGGAAAGCGACGAGGAACTTTCAGAAATGGCTTGATCCATAATAACCTCATATGCAACATCGTAGAAAATAGGCTCTGGAGCACACAAACGAGGCTCCAATTGTAGACACTTGATTGCATCGACACATCGCATTCCAGGCTCCAATCTTCGGGAAAGAAGAGTATAATCGCCATCATCATTGCTTTTCTCATTGATGCATGCTATGTAAAGACCCAATGAGCCATCAAGGAAAGTCTTGAATTTGCTCAAGAAGGGACCAGGCGATAAGTGGCCAATATTAAGATACTAAAATAAAAAATAAACAGCCTACTCGGAGGACATCTAAAGAATTTTCAAGGATCAAAAGATTGGATTCCAGTTCCGGGAGCGCTTCTTTCATATCTAAAAGGGCCCTGGCTGCTGTCGCAAGAAGAGACGATTTACTGGGGTTCTGTTTGACAGCGGGCTTCGAATGTCCTGCCTGGAGCGCAAAGAAATATGAATTTAGCAACTGCTTAATTGCCTTAAATAGACAAGTTCTGGAATCAATCGCTGAGTTGAAGATTTGGTTCGAATGTATCGGTGCAACTGCCGGACTCCTGATCTCCTCGTATATTCGAACAACTTCTTCAATGGATCCTCTGATGGTCCATAGGAGTTTCTTTTGGCGAGAATTTCCTCTGATGGTGAAGATTTTTTCAAGCTGGCCAAAAAGCGCCAATGCACGGCTCTGCGAAAGTGCCAGCTTGGCGCACAATTTTTGGAATTGCAAAAATTCCAACATGTGAGTGTCCATTTTGGGATGGGGGCTGATCCGTTTCCATCCCTTCAAGTTTTGCCCAGAAGAATCAGGAGAAAGTAGAAATTTATCGAACATCAGCAATAAATTGTCCACCAACTTGAGTTCAAATCCAGCCCAGTTGATGATGTGCTGTTTTGGCAGTGACTCAACAGGTGCGGATTTTGGGGTATCCAGCGAGAGGCCTTTAAGAGAGATAAAGCCAAGCTCCACAGCCAGCTTATCAATATGGCTACTTTTGGGGTTCTCAGAGGAGGGAGTTGCGCTTCGCACCTTCAAAAGCTTTTTGAGATGGGAAATATCGTCTAAAAACTGCTCCAAAGCAGCAGAAGAACAGTGATCGTTGAGAAGAGCCCTACATATTGACTCGGCACAATCAGTGGCCGACGTTGCGATCTTCCAGTCCTTCAGATCGAATCGTTCGTGCGCTCTAATCCAATACCAATAGCATTGCAGCTCTTGCCTATTCACATATGTTTCTGCATTTGAATGGGCAGCCAGAAAAGAAACATACTGAAGTGCTCTTCGGCTCTTTTTTTTCATTGAAAAACGTGCTCTGGAATTTTCCATTTGCAACTCCATTAATTTCATTCTAAATGCCCAGGCTCTTTCACATCCCCACAGAAGGATCTCAAAGTCGCCTGCACAGGAAAACGATCGCTTTGCTTGCAGCTTGTTAGAAGATGGTATCTCTTCAGATGGATTTTCCAAAAGCGGCTTGCATGGAAGAATACCCCGCTTGCGTTGACCCGCCCTAAGGGTGGAGATGCGGGAGCGACAAAATTTTCTACAATTAAGAAAGTAAATGCAACATGTAGCCATCATAGCTTCCTCGCCTGGTAAGATGGGTTTCCTTTGCAATTTTAATTGCCTCAAATACTACAAATTAAACTCGACTCATCATAGGCCATACATGAGGGCGGCGGTGTACCAAGTGCAGTGCCAGGCATCACAATTAAAATTAAATTCAACTTGAACTAGGGCGCGGTTTTGCAAGTTTAGACTTTTATTCAAGAAACTGGGGGTCTGCCTCCAATGACCAGGTCAATTTTGGCCGAAATTTCCTTCATCAAACTTCGCTTTTTCCGGGACATCGTCGTAAAGCTTTCCGATTTTTTGTTAAGCATGCTGGATAGGGTTTGTAGCGCTTCAGAGTTGCCCAAAACGGAAGAGAGAACCAGGACCGAAATGCAGTTACGCACCATTAGCTTTCTACTGGCTTTCCACAGCAGGAAAAGAACTTGAGACAGGTTCTAAGCTAAGAGAATGAAAACATTACCTCCAAAAGAGGAGCAGAGTAGTCGTCTGTAAATAAGAGCTTTTCGGCATCATTGACCTGGTTCACGCTGGAAATCAGCTCCGCAAACAGATATCCGGAAATCAAAAGCAGAATTAGATCTTTCTTCTTTGGAGCGGATCTGAAATTCAGTTTGCCACGCTTGCCAATTGCTTCATTACAGGATATCCAAATGAACAGAAATTGCAAAATAAATTGTACGAACAACAAAAAACATTCTCGGAGCGCTTGGCATGTTAGCACCAATTGCATGTAGGCCCTAATGCGCATCTTGCAGTGCACGTATTTTCCTAAATGATAGGCCTTGTGCAACTCCAGAATTTCTGCGTGTAGCGTGGAAAAAAGTGTACCCAGATCCAGCTCTCCACACGAAACTTCAGTTGCGAATGCATCGGGTTTCTCAAAAGAAACATTGTTAGAGCGCTTATCTGAAAGTAGATGGTGGATAAGAGAAAACAATAGATCATTGTCTGGGCTCTCCGGATCAGATGTGATACCTTTCACACCCTCATCTGCATTAAATTCCTTTAAAAATCCTTTGGACATTTGAGACAAAGCTAATGAGCGCAGGGCCGGAGTGATGTTCTCCAGAAGCAAGATGAAATTGGCTCTTTCCTGGATGCATAGCCTATATTGATTGGTTGGATTTTCGTGAATGATAGAGGATGAGATCAATTGTAGAGATTCCCTAGTAAATTTCATAATAAAATTTACGAATGCAGTTGACGTACATGTGACAATTTGGGAACGTCTTTCCTATTTGAGAGACTCCATCATACACCCATTAAACTATCCCCGGAAATATGCATTCCAACCCTTTGAAGGCCATTTGGACACCAATGAAGTTGTCGCAAAAATGCAATGGGTCCCCGTCTTTTTAAAAATTAATTTTTTATCCAGAATTGTGCCGCATGAAAATGTGGAAATTTTCCATGGATGATTTACAGAACCGGACGCCATCTCGTCCTCTGATCTCTTATCAAGAAGAAGTGAAGGACCGGTTTTTGCTTTGCAAATTCATACTAGACCTTGGGGTTAGGCTGAAATTGTGAGTATCTTTTCTCCTACTTTGTAGTCCTCAATCCACTATAACCTGTGCTCAGATATTCCTTCATCGGTTTTTTATGCGCCGCGCACTAGCCACGCACGATAAAAAGCTTGGCCAGGTTTTTTCAACCCGCTTAACCATATAGCTGCTCGCAATAGCCTCACTTTACCTTGCTGGAAAGGTCGAGGAGACCCCACGCAAGATCAAGGAAATCCTTACCATCTACTTTGATGGTGATGAAGGCCTTCAAAAGATCTTAATTGATGACGTTAAGGTACGTTTCTATTGTTTTCATTCCCATCAGCAGCTTCAAATCATGCGATCAAAGGTGCTCGATATGGAATTCATGCTGCTTGAAACACTTTGCTTTGACCTGGCTGTTGAACAGCCATTCAAATACCTAAAGGAAATTCTGATTTCTCGGTCGATCTCCCAAGAGATATCGCAGGCTGCCTGGCGGATTCTGAGCGACTGGTATGTGCTTTTCCTTACACCTCAGCATGCTTAGCCCCTTGGTGCTTTTATATGATCCGCCCTTGCTGGCAGCAGCTTCCTTTTGGATATCCATATCCAAAAGACTGGCGTCAAAGGAGGCCGATGAGCATATATCGACGGTGGTACCTGATGCAGAGCAAAGGCGTCTCGTTCTTGAAGTTATTGTTCCACAGCTCCTTGCCTTCTACAAGGAGGTGGTAAAGGAAGGATGCGTCGCAGTGGGGCCAATGGATAGCCCATGCCCTCCCTTGTAAACCAAAGATCGATGTAGCATCTAAATATTACGAATCCAATTGCAGCACTAGGGACGGAATTTCTTTTCCGTCTTCAGTTTAGATTTATTTAATTTAAATGCCACTCGCCTCATCCACGAGCCCGATTTCCAATTGCAGCTAGGTGCCAAGATGCCTGGTTGAGATCCCGTTTTACGACGCCTGCAGTGACTTGGATTTGGGTTCCCGGCACCATGATTTCTTGGAATGAGGCGATGCCAAGTGCAGACAGCATGTAAGAATCAATGGTTATGGAGAACGAGGAATATAGCTCCAAAATGTAGATCTGACATGTAAATGCAGAGACCGTTTGAGATGGCTGGCTTCCCCCCAGAACAATAGCATCCCAGATCTTGTCGGCTGGCTGACGAAGAATGTATGTCAAAAGCCAGAATCTTGTGGCCCGTCTTTGCAGAGACTTGAGCTGGGGCTCGAGTTCATTGACATCCCTTAACCGGCTAATCAGCTCCCCGCTCCGCATGATGTTAGAGGAGCCACATCCCCCAAGTGCTGCTTTGAGCTGATAATGGATGAGCATGTCCGCATAGCGGCGCATTGGAGACGTTACGCGGAGATATGCATTGAGACCCATGGACCAGTGAACCCCTGCAACAAGGGAAACCTTGGATGGGGCGAGAATGCCGCTGGTGCTAACCAAATGAGAACCAACAATATCTCTTATCAAAGGCGACATCTGCTTTTCTATCTTTAAAACAGACTCGATTCGTTCCGCGAGCGCATCCAAGCGAGATCCCGCTTTTGGAGGGTCCTGCCTTCTATAAGGAACCGGGAGACTCAGTTCCTGAGAAACCCGAGCCGCAACTACGCCAGCTGCGACCATCAGCTCGGAGACAATTCGTCTAGAAACGGAGCTTTGGTCATTACTATTGATAATTCGGATAACAGAGGCCGGCGCTTCGACAGGCCCCTCCAGTCGAACCTCTGGTGATGGTCGATTCTGTATGAACGATAGAAAAGAGGCACCTTCGATGTTGCCTCGAGCTCGCGCCAAAGCATTCGCAACTTGGGCAAGCTGCGAGAGTAAGGTGGAGGGGAGAGGGGATGTGGAATCACATGGTTGAAGTAATGCATCGGCATCTTCATATGTCAACCTTTGGACATTGCGAAGAATGGATGGTCGGATTTTGGCCGAGTGGTTAAGAATTTCACCACTGCTCTTGTCAACTTGAAATGAAAAGGTGAAGGCCAGCGGCTCGTACGTCAAAGCTTTTTTTCCACCAAGAGAAATCGGCTCAAGCATCGTTTCTGGGAGCATAGGAGCTTTTGCTTCGGGCACATATATTGAGGAAGTTCTCTGAGCGCACCAGCGTTCTAATGTTGAGCCCATCGGTATGAATGCAGTGGGGTCGGCTACATGCACATGTACTCCCCAATAAGTATCGGCTTCAGTTGTATCATCCACTGACAGTGCGTCATCAACCTCCGTGGTATCAGCAGAGTCTATAGCTATGGCTAGATGCGAATGGCCAAATTCAATTCTACTCTCWAAAGAGGATCCATCTGGAAGAATTTTCCGAGGAGATGCCGAGAGGCTGATTGGCACTGGAGAGGTCTTCAGACTTTGGGGGGAAATGCTTTGATTGCAACTATCTAAGGATATAGCTTTGGAGGCTGCCTCTTCAATCGCTGCAGGAATCTCATATTGCAGACAGGACTGCTCCCAGTGCACGTTGTGGTCCGGGGGTAAAAGACCCCTCTTTTCAAGAGTAGGATACAGATCACCCGCCTCGTTACCGGTATCCAATATTCCTGAAAGACATTGGATGGCAACATCGGCTAATGGGTGCCCGTTGATGCCCATTAAATTGTACTTRTGCGAACAGGCATATCGTTGCAGTGCCCACAGGAGCAACTGGTCCGTTTCAGACGTAAAAAAGGTCCCAACATTGTGTGATGGTCGTTCTGACGGCGATGAGCATGAACCGGGTACCCCTGCAACGGAATTTGCAGCAGTAGAACGGTGCCAGCAATTCAAATGTGCTCGGAGTTTTTCCCTAAATTGCTCTATTTGTGGCGGGGGCAAAGAGAGGATCGAATTGATCTTTGCAATTTCGGCAGGAGGACGCATAAAGTAAGGACCAGTTGGACCCAAAAATGGGGGCTTGACAAAATATTTCGAGTTGCAAAATAAAAAACGGTAAGCTGCATGGAGAGACTCGATGGAGATCGGCCTTGAAAGACTGCCGCAATTGGAAGCAATTTTTTCACTTTCTAAAAGAAATTCCTCAGGACTCAGTCCCCGAACCAACATAGAGACGGGAGCACGGGAAGAACGTGCTGAAGTAGCACTAGAAAGTGAAGGCCGGTCTAAATATTCCCTCTCAAACGATGTAAAGATCTGTAATAGTCTTTGCAGCTCCCGAAAAGAATTAGACTCGAACGTTTTCAGCGCCTTGCCTAAAGCATTCAGAGAAAGCAGTGCTGCTTCTGTAAATTGAGAGCTAATAGTTTTGTGTGTTTTCAGGGAAAAGATATTATCGATCAGCTCCGGAGTCAGGTTGGAGTGTAAAAATAGCCAGCGTTTTGCCTTGAACCTGACATTGAAGCTCATAACTTGCTGCAATGAAAAGGTCGAAAACGCGGCATCATCCATACTTTGCTTATTTGTCAAATTGAGCGCATATAATAAATTGGTGTTTTCCTGGCCAACGGAAAGCACAATCCCAAGTATATGGCGCGATTTCTGCACGACGATCTCAATAAGATCCCCGGGCTCATAGGCCGGCACAAAGCCCTCAGGCTCTACATCTTTTTCCTTTGAAATGCTTTCAAAAATAGGGAAATCTAACGCTTGTGAAGAGGATAAAGAAGAGCCCTCTTCATGAAATAAAGGGAAAGGCTGCTCCTCATGATTGACAGAAGAAGCTTCCCGGGGTTCTTTTTTAAAATTGTTAGACCCAAGATTGGATTCCATTTCATAGCTTCTTGTGATGGGAACAATTTTCAAGGTTTGCTTCTCCACGGATTTCTTACGAGAAAGTTGCGGTCGTGATGGTTTTTTCATTAGTGTATCACTTGGAAATGTATCTGGAGAAATCGGGACAATTCTAAATGGCGTTTTAACAGAAGCGGCGGAATAAGCAGCTCTCCTGGATATGTACTGAGCCCCTTGGTTCAATGCCCGGCTTCTGTGAGAGCCTATGCATCCGATGCTCATGTTGCAATAAAATGGGGGACAATTAATTTCAGTACAAAAAAATAATTAAATTTACTTTTATGAATCTGCTTCCCAAAAAAAGGCACTACATTCAATATATTAACGTTTAGCTGGCATGTGAAGAATGTCCTAAATAAAGAAAAGGTTCTAAAAGACGAAAGGCAAAATGACATTGTACAAGAAAAGGCAAGCCACCGTCGGATTATTGACTCGAAAATCTCGGTCATGAATTCTTTAAAGCAGAAACGCTCTCATCAAAACAACATGGAATCTCAAAAAGAGGACGACTATAGAAATAGCCTAAACGATACGATACTGAAACACAAAACGCCATCTGAAAAAGAGGTTGAAAGAAGAGCTAAGGTTGAAGAAATGTTTTCAATTCCTATGAATGTATCTCGAAACGACAAGCGCAAAAAAGAGACCCCTTGGTATGATATGCAACCAACGGAGGCCGTCGAACTAAATCCAAACAGACCGGGAGATCCATTGCTAAAAATCAAGTCTGCCACAAATACCCGCAAATCTGAAGACACCGAGTATTCAAAAACAAACTCCAGCAGCAAGCATGCACCCTATGCTGGGGGCTCTTCAGAATACGATAGATTAAGATCAGAACGCCTGATCAGAGAAAAAAGGGAACGGGAAAGACAGGATAGCCTCCTAAGGACGAATAAATTCACTTAAAGTATTTTTTAAAATGAACAATTTTGGGCTTGATGATTCTTTCACTGGTTCCCATTCGGTTTTTTCAGATTCCTTTTGCGGGATAATCAACTTTAAGCTACTTTTAGACAGTACATTTTGCTGCCGTTTTTTTTATTAGAGCGTATAATCATTTCTCTGAAGGATGGAAGAAAGTTTGAGGGAAATTTCAAAGTATACGACCAGTTCGGTATGCTGCCATATTTTTATTGCAAATAGGAAATATCACAATCACAGAGGCAACTGAGCGGATTTTCATAGATAACCAGTATGGGGAGAAATACCAAGGGGTGCTACTCATTAGAGGCGAAAATGTGGTTCTACTGGGCGAATATAACGAGGAAACTCAACAGCACGGAATTTCATATCCCACGCTAGAAAAAATCCCCATGAACGAGATATTGAGAAAGCAGCGTCAAATCTTGGATGAGAGGAAAAGAATCATAAAAACCAAGCGAGAGCTCAACAGGGAGTTTGGCCTTCTGGAGGCAGATATCATGGCCGAATTTGACCTTTAAAGTTTAAATTAAAATTTAAACCGTAATAAAGCATTTGTTTTTGCCGCCTTATTTCCCCTGCCATGCAACACATCAATGCATCAGGCCTAACCCCTGTTGGCGGGAATGGCTCGGAAAAGCCCCTCAAGAGCTCGTCAGCACCTTCCGTTTTGTCGAGCGAGGAGAATGTTTTCACTCGGCCGGTTCTAAGATCCATTTCAAACATGTCTGTTTTAGATATGAAAGCCATGCCAGGCTCGATCCGTCAATCTAAAGACAAATCTGGCATTCGATATTTATCGAGTGACTCTTCTAAACGGAAGGGCAAGTCGACCCTAATGCTTCATCCCATCGACAACGTTGTTATGCCTACAAAACTTGATTGTAAGTCTCCTCAGACACCTCTTTCAAAATATTTGAGCAAAAGGGTGACGTCCATCAATCGCTCGCCACTTTCAGATACCTACTTAAACTTACACAATGAAAGCCTGCATGGAGATTTAGACAAAAAGCTGTTTGGAGCAGCTTGTCTCCAAAAGCAATTGGCAAGTTTATCCTCCAACGGTATTACCTATCTCTTTAATGGCTAGGAGCGTTAACCATTTCATACATCAACAAAATATCGGACCGGCTTGAAATAAAAGCCTTAGATTTGTCCAACTCATTTGGAACTAAATATGAGCGTTCCGATCTTCCGATCCTCCCTACCTGTTGTCCCTCTTCATCGGACATCGACAGCCTATTTTCACTGCTAGGCTCCAAAAGCTCACTCATACAAAACCTGACAGAGCTAAACTTGTCTAATGTGCATTTTTCTGTACGAAATGTGGCCATGTTGAACTCTTTGACACACTTAACAAATCTCAACCTCACCAACACTAATTTAACTGACAAACATTTGGAGGCTTTAAGCAACATGTCGAACGGCTTTTTAGCGTCCATTTCACGCTTGAACTTTGATGGAAACCTGCTAATATCGGATTCTTCTTTCCAGAGTATAAAAAAGTTTCCAAATTTAACAGAGCTAAACCTAGACAACACATCTATAACATTCGAGGGCCTACTTGGCTATGCGAAAAGCATGTGTAACACTCTTCGGTCATTTAAAACCCTAAAGTTTCCCTCAAAAATATCATCTGAAATAATTGCAAGAAAAGCCTCTCTTATCGGCATCTCTAGCTACTATGGAGATTTGGACCCTCAGAATATTCTTTTACTCGACCAATCCTCTATCGATCAAGTAGAAGACAAGTCCATATTGCTGCACCAGCTGAGGCTGCTTTCAACAACAGAATCCAAGGCCTTGTACTCAAACTTGATGAGTGTTTCCGAACTTCAGGCAATCATCAAAAATCGATTGGAGGATTTTTGGCTTCAACTTTTGCTAATAAAATTAGAAAATTAACCCCCTCCCCCTTTGTTGGCATGTGCCCATTCATTTGGTACATTTTACCCGTCTGTCTTGATTGGCCACGTTTAATTAAATAAACTTGAAATTTTTATAAAATTAAAAATGTCCAAGTCTAGGGATGATTCCGATCGTCAATACCGCCTTAATAATAATGATGGTAGCTCGCCTAAACTTTCCAAGATGCCTAAAGAAAACTTTCGCGTGCCCAAGCAGGAGGTCAATGCACAATTTCCGCCATATAACCGTCATTTATTCCAGCCAAGCGACCAAAACATTCATTTTAGCCCCAAAGGGCTTCTTAATGAACCCCAATCACAAAATGCAGCAGGTTCTATACAATCTTTGGGTCAAAGTCATCATTTCGAACCCTCTTTAAGCGACTCGCATCCCTGTGAGAGGCTGTTTAAAGATGATGAGTTTAACACCAATAGCATCCTGTCTGAAATATGGGGCCTTCCATTGGAGTTTTCACCCCCTTATGTCACCAAAACAAAAGCACAGAACATCACTTTGGGAATCTCTCCTCCGCTATCACCTTTATCGCAATCTCTCGAGGCTTCTATGGAAAAGCAAAAACAAACCATCACTTTAGGTCCGCCCCCGGGCTTTTTTGCGGGATCCCCCACTTCAAGCTCACCAATGCAAAAGGACCAGGCTGAACGACAAAAATCTCTTGACATTTACAAAAAGCCCAGTTTAGATAACATTTCAAAGGAAACATATGCCATTTCGAAAATCTTTATCCCCTTTTCGGGGTTGAAGCCAAAAATAGATTACGAGGCCATTATATCTTCAATTGCCAAAAAGAAGCTCAAAAGCTTCAATGACGCCTCGAAAATAAGCGTTGTTATAAAATCCGATTCCCTGATCATAGATTTATTGGGTGCATCGAACGGAGAAATCGCCACGTCTGAAAAAAATTACATTGAAAACTCAAAGCCTGTTTTGCAAAGTTGGTTGCACAGTGTTGCGCTTGGAGAGATGCCGACAGATTCAATTTTATTGGACGTCGCTTCTGCTCGACGAGAATTGCTATTTAAGCTATGCGTCCTCACCACATCGGAAGTATTGTTGAACACCGAAGCCTTGCGAAGATTGGAGAAACTCGGGATGCATTATGTTAAAACCCTTTCAGAGCAGACTTTTGTTAATATTCAGATGCACAGTTTACAAAGCAAACTTGTTTTATTTGGCGATCGTGAAGGCATTGATTTGGTTATGTTTTTCTTGCGCCTGTTTTCTGTTGAAAATGTACAAAAAATGCCGGAAGAAAAATCGACAACTTTTGTTCTCCAAAAACCCGTTTATAGTGCAACGATTTTAATTCCAAGATGTTTCCACTCGCCGATGATTGGAATTGCTGGGGCCCGACTTCAGTCGATTTTGAAAACATTTGGCAACGGTTCTGTTCGTGTATCTTTCCCCAGGTACATGAGCTCTCCTTCTTGGGAGGTTGTCATATCTTCTAGCATTTACAATATTTGCAAAGAGTCCGTTGCAAATGTCAAACAAGCCCTAATTGAATCGTGGAAATCAATCGTCACGATGAGCACTCGCCAACGATGTTCCTGTGTTGACAGCCCATACAACTCTGCTGAACTTTGCGCTTCAAGTGAGCCGGCATCGATCCCAACCGGGCCCGGCACCCCAGACTGCCCTGGATTACTATACTCCCATCTCCCTCATATGGAGATTTTGAAAGAAAAGGTTACCATCAAAAACAGGTTCCCAAGCGTGCACCATTGCGACTTTGCAAGAATTGTGCGACAAACCGGTGTAAAAATTGACTTTCTAGAGCGAGAGAGAAATGAAGATGGCGGTAAAGATGGTGATAAAGATGGCGGTAAAGATGGCGGTAAAGATGGCGGTAAAGATGGCGGCCATTTTCAGAGCACCGTTCCTGGCTATATTGAAATCTCTGGGCTGCCAAAATCACATTTGCTTCAAGTCGAATTGATGCTTTGTTGGATCAACTCAACCAGAGGCGGAGAGTCCTCCTGAGAGGGAATAGTCTTATTGTATTTGTTTAATTATTAAATCATTGAACTTTACTATCAAGCGTGCCGAAAATTTGATCGATTTCGTCAGTACTGCCGTTTTTTGGCTTTTTGTGGGGCCGAGATTTGCGTTTGCCTCCCCCGAGGGACGAAATCGGCTGTGCCGATAAAGCAAGGCGCTCTTCGGTGCAAACGGGGCTGCCAATATCCTCCTCAAGTGTGGACGCGTTTTCCAGCTGCTTTAGAAGGCTAAATATCCTAGATATTACGCCCAAAACCACCACGCTCAACGGAACGAGCTGGTATCGGCTCAAGTTATCTTCAATGGTTGCCAGTAAAGAGGCCAGGATTTTTTCAAGGGCAGGCGAAAGACTTTGAACATGCACGACCTTTTTGCGAAACATGGAAAGCTTCTTGAACAGGTGGCTCCTGCGGTGCTGGTTCCTGATTTTCCACATGATTCGGTCCAGTAAGACCAGCTCGGTTTTGATGTGCGCAGCACTTATGTTTGTCAAGATTTTAAAATTTAAAAGCCCGAATGTTTTCATTTTCAAGCGTGAATGCGCTGCCCCCTTGTTGGCCGCATGCCTTAAGGGGAAGTTGTTTATGCTTTTATTGATGGGCTAACTTTTTATGAAAGTCCATGGCTTCGCAGTTTTGCTGTTGTGTTTCGTCCTTGGCGATGCCCAGGCTCTTTCTGACCCATTGGATGGCATTGCTGTTTCCAAAGTCAGCTGCTTAGAGTGGTTTGGTGCGTGCAAACTGACCAATCTGTACCAATCTGCTGCTTCTAATGGATCCCTACATTTGCTGTTGCAATCCCCGTTGGATACGGTGCCAAGGCCCATCAAACTTGGCATTGGGTTTTTGTCTCCAATTGCATGGTTTGATGCACTTTCTTTCTCATCAGGTGTTTTTAATGCCACTTCATATCATCTTCAGCTTGCTAGGTTTGTGAAGACCGATAAAGATATTGAACGCATATTCATCCCCATTTTTATCCACTACAGTCCCCACTCGCTTAGCAAAGCGCTGGGGGGTCAAATGGTGGCGATCGAGGAACCCTCTCTGCTTGGCATGCCCCTGTGGAGAAATATTATGCGCGTGTTTTATTCGGCCGCTTCATCGGTATTTTCTGCCTTGGAGCTTCAACTGACAAATTTTTCGAATCCCACGCACTTCAAGTACTTTTATGCCCACAGCGAATACCTTTTACAAGGCGCAGACACCGTTCGGAAAAACCGGCTTGATGACAAGCTTCCGTTTGAGAAGATATTAAGATCGGTGACCGACTTTTCGATCGAACCGATGTTTCCTTCCCAATTGCCGGCTTCAAGAGTTTTCCGAACCCTCCTTCTGGGCTCCTCCGATCATTTCAAAGTTCCAGAGCTCAAAATTACAAACATCCAAAATGCGCAAAACGATCCCGAAAGCCGTATAGGTAGAAGGAACACTGCAATCAAACTGACCCGTGAGCTGATATTTAATAGCCTGATGGACGACAAAGATCGGAGCGGACGTCTCTCTTCTATTCCAGTTATCACGCTTATTAAAAGGCCCGAAAATGCCTCGAGAGCTATGCTCAATTTGGATGCACTTATATCTGCCCTCCGTGCCCTTCCTTGTAAGATAAATGTGATTTCTCTGGAAACCCTGTCTATTGAGGAGCAGATAGCAACGGCTTACCATTCCGACATCCTGATTGCTGTTCATGGAGCTAGCATGATCCATTCGCTATGGATGCGGCCAAATGCAACGGTCATTGAGATCTTTCCCACCGGCATCAAAAAGGCAATCTACCAAAATCTTATCAAAATCATCGGGGGCGTCCCAGACCATCAAGCTGGGCGCCAAAGCCCGGGGCTTTCTCCATTTCCTTTGTACCTCTCTTGGCAGGAAAAGTACACCACCCGCAACGGGATTTTTGACGTCATCAATTGGGAAAGCGTCTCCTCAAAGGAAATGTACCGTAGGCGAGATGTTGTTGTCCACATACCGTCCATATTATCGCTATTGCAGGTGGCTCTTGATTTCCAAAAGGATAAGCTTAAATTTTTGCTCTTTGCCCCGTGGGAGCAGCTAAATAACCAGGTCCAGGGGCTGATGTCTGCATGTGCCATTGCACAGAAGCTGAACAGAATCCTGCCTTTGCCCAAAATCGGCTACAAAAAGGAGCGATCCGCCAACCTGGCTCTATTTGAGGTTTCCAAGTTTCGGTGGAACCCATTCGGCATTTACTTTGACTCGGATCGTTTCAATGAAAACCCCATTTGTTCTGTCATCGATGAATACAACTTTTCCAACATTCTTGAAACATTGGCCTTTTCCGCATACATCAAGAAGCAGCAAAGCACCAGGCCGCTTAAAATCGTCTGGTCGTCTTATAGAAACACAATCAGGTCCCTTTTAGGAACGATTCACGCTTGTTCTGCCTTCAATAGCATTAATATTTCGCCCAACCAAACTCTTGAATATTATCACGATGTTCTTTTCCTCCCCTCACTTGCATATGTAGACGAGAGTCCAGGCCACAACTCGTCAAAATCCGGTTTTTTGGACAGCTATTCCACACTGTATAATGCATCGCAGTTTTTGCTGCTCGGCAATATGTTCCAGTTCTACAACTTTGGAACTGAAGTGACCTATCCACAGCTCCAATATAAAGACTTTTTTATGTCGCACAAGTACGCCAGCATTCGATCCTATCTGATTCCGCGTCCCGAAATCAAAAGACTGACCGCCCTTCTGATTGCCGAAGCTTCTTTGCATCGCCAATTTATTGCCATTCATTTGCGTCGGGGAGACTATTTCGGAAAGTGTACTAAAGATTTCAACTACTACACGGCCAGTTCAAAATTTGACCATCGAATCCGTGCGCGTAGTCCGTTTTGGAACAGCTGTTGGCAAACTCCAAACATAATTCGCCGGAGGCTGGCTTCGGTTTCTACCTCTTTTGGGGACCATTCAGGGCGAAAGATACCTCTCTACATTTCCACCAATGCTGTCTTTGGCCCCAACTTTATGAACTTCGTCAACAGGGATCGCAAGTATTCCATGGTGTCGCTCTCTCTTCTCCAATCCAAGTTGGTTGATAGGGCCGCGCTTAATGCTACCTTTAACGTCCAAATTACCTATCTGCTAAAGTCCATTTTATTTTCACACATGACGATTCCCCCAGTACGCCCGCTTTCTGTGGTCACCCTGCTGGGGCTTCTTGACACCAACATTTGGGCTTTGGTGGATCAACAAATTTGCTCGCTATCACATGTTTTTATTGGCAACCGATTCTCCTCGTTTACCAGATCCATCGTAGACTCCCGTGGCGGAACTCAAAACAGTAGCTCACGCACTTTTTTTTTCTAGAATTCTTGAATAAAGTATCCCTAATGTGACCGGGTGCCCGGCAATTAAGTGCATCATATGGCACCCCTCTATGCATTAAGAATAATTATTTATAAGATGGAATATTTGCCGGGCTCCGATCCTGCGCCCTTCAGCAGAGCCTCCGATGTAGCTTCAATGATGATTTCCAGCAGATCTTTTCTTGCCCGCAATATGGAGAGTTCATTATCGCCCTCAATGACAATATGAAGGCGCCTCTCGCCAGACGGGTTTGTCTTGTTCTGTGGAATATGCGTTCCTCTGACAACCATGGAGCAATAGCAGGTCTCTTGAATTGCAAGCATCACGTCTTTAGAGGTAACTTTCCATCTCGCATATTGTGGATAGTCATTGATATCGATCTCGCATTTGAAGTGTCGCACTTTGTCGCCCTCAAACACTTGTACAACATCCCCAGACGAGGCCGAGGTAAGTTGGGTGAATCTTTCCTGCCCCAACTTCAGCTGATTAAGAGAAGCCTGCGATGATTCCGAGGCCTTGACTCGAGAATTGATCTTGCTGGCAATGTCTTCCACAAGCTGCTTGGAATCCTCCAATGACATTTTCGATGGGCCCGAAATTGCCGATCCATCGGCAGCACCAATGGTGGCCAGTTTTGGCCTCTTTTTAGGCTCCTGGCCATCATCGATCTCTGGCGAGGAAGAGGCATCCTTCTTCGACAAAGATAGGTGGTCTTCATCGTCCGAAAGATCTTCTCCAAATGACTAGCGACCATCGTTATGGAAAATAAACGTACCGATTTTTGCACCTTGAGGGCCTTATCTCGCTCCACTTCAATCCGTTCAAGCCCCTTGCCCCCATATCCATATGCAGAATATTGCGCCTCCTTTTTTTTAACCTTTTCCATGAACCCTAAAAAAGAAAAGGGCACCCCAATGCTTACTGCTTGCCATTTGCGCCAAAGCTGGCGGAACAGGCGCATTTGACATGCTTAGGGCACGAGAAATATCTACGGCAAATCTTTCTTGGTCCGGGGATATAAAGGTGATCGCTGTTCCTTTGTTTCCTGCGCGCCCGGTTCGTCCAACTCGATGAACATAATCTTCCATGTGGTTGGGACAATCATAGTTGATGACAAGATTTAACTCGCGAACATCCAGACCTCTGGAGGCAACGCTTGTAGCGATCAGAATTGGAATTGTGCCATTCTTGAAATCAACAAAAGCAGAATCCCTATCAGACTGGTCTTTCCCGCCATGGATGGCTATACAAATGTGGCCTTTTCTTAGCAAATCTTTAAACAAGAGGTCAGCGTCATCTTGCCGGTCAACAAAAATAAGGCATCTGGTGGAATAGTCGCTGTTGGTATTTTCTTCGGCCCACTTTCCCAGAATCTCTAGCAGCAGGAAAAACTTTTTCTCTTCCGGAACGATTCGGACATCTTGTATGATGTCTGTATTTACAGTGCTTCGACCGCCAACCATTATTTCGATGGGACGAGTGGATATTTTTTTGGCCAATTGTTCCATCTAAGGGGCCATATTAAAGGGGATGCTTACTGCTCGAGGAAACGTAGCCGAGAACATCCCAACCTGCTTGTCAGGACGAATAAGCTCCATGATTTTTGTAATCTGTGGCTCAAACCCCATATCAAACATCCTATCGGCCTCATCAATAATCACAAAAGTGACCCTTCGTAGGTTTAATACACGGCCAGCATTTGCCGTAAGAAGATCAATGAGCCGCCCTGGAGTGCTGATCAGAATTTCAGCACCCCTTTTCAGCTCTCCAATTTGGTCCTTAATCGATGAACCGCCATACGCACAAACAACCTTGACACCAAAAGCATGTGCCAGCTTTTTGGTTTCCCCACCTACTTGGACGGCCAATTCACGGGTGGGCGTCAAAACAAGGGCAATTGGGCCCTCCGAGGAAGACACTGGTCGCTGGTCGCGGACATGTCTAAATAAAGGAAGAAGGTATGCAATTGTTTTTCCGCTACCGGTTCTGGCTATTCCAATCACGTCTCGCCCAGACATCAAAGCCGGGATTGCTTGAGATTGAATTGGAGTCGGTTTGTCAAAGTTTAGAAATCCTCGTAAGATGTCCAACCTACGACATAAAAATCTGAAAACCCAACATTTTTTGAGGCAACCCGCATTGTGTCCACTTTAGGAACGGCTTTGGAATATTCTGGCCCTAGAAAAATCGACGGCGTAAAAGATACCTTAACCCTCATGTTGTTAAGCGACTGGCGAATGGCTCGCACCTTTTCTTCACTAAGATTTTGGAGCTCCGTGGTTTCGGTATAAAAATTTTTTCTTACAGACCCATACTCAATAGCCGAATGGTCAATGGACAGAACATCTTTCTTTTTGGCCTTCTTCTGAGCCATTCTAGCAAAAAAGGCAATAAAAACGGCGGACTTACGCCATGATTTGCTCTGGAGTTGCAGAGAGCAGGGGATCCGTCCCAATGGCCTTGATTGCCTTGGCCTGTTCAACCTCAAAGGCAGATTCATCGTCGCTACTAGAGTCGTCAATAACAGGCTGGATGGTAGGCTTTATATTTTGGGATGAAAATCCAGAAAGCGAATGTGCAAGGTCTTTATCGATTTGTGGCTGTAATGAGCTCATAAATGCATCGAGCGGATCGATTTCTTGGGGCATTTTAAATTCTTTAAATTAACTGATCCGATTTGACATACCATGGGCCCCCAACCCTAAAATTTAAGGGTTAGGGTTTTGGGAGCCTATGCCAAACCTCGAGCCCCAATTTGAGTAAATATTTCGCTTCAAATTTTGTTCCTTTAGATTGAATATTTTCGTTGTATGCACTAAATGCGTTGGGGGATATTCAGACTCAAAAACAAACGTCCAATTATGCTGCTTTCCGTGTTTTCATCATTCTATATTTTCAGTGATGCAGAAAACCTGAATACCAAGATACACGAATCTAGAGATTATCTTGATATATCAACGCGATACTCCAGGGTCTTTTCAACAATTGGAGCCATTATTGTTGAATACAAATTTGCCGAAGTATTAGCACATTATCATAATACGAGCAATGCCAAATTCTCTCTTGATCAAGAATATTGGTCTCTGCCCTCCATCCATCATCGCTCAGCCATGCGACTTTTGGAGCTGTGCCAAAAAAACGGCGGGGTTTTCATCAAACTTGGGCAGCATATCTCCACACTGGATTACCTTGTTCCGTCTGAATATTGCCAAGTTCTCAAGTGCCTCCAAAGCAGGGCCTTTCAGACCCCAATTGATCAGGTGCATCGGGTCATTTGCCAAGCACTAAATATTTCCAGCATCGACGCCGTGTTTTCCTCGTTTGATGAGATCCCCGTTGGCGTTGCATCGCTTGCTCAAGTCCATCGCGCTGTTTTGAAGGATTCATCTCAAGTTGTGGCGGTAAAGGTACAACATCCGCTTGTCGAGAAATTTGCCCCGCTTGACATTCAGGCAGTGGGGATGTTCGCTAGGGTGTTAAAAAACCTGTTTCCAAGCTTTACGCTTCAATGGCTAGCTGAGGAGATTTCGGAAAACCTTCCAAAGGAAATTGACTTTTTGCACGAAGCAACAAATGCTCTAAGAACGCGGGAAATTGTTGACGAATTGAATTTGGAAGAACAATCGTCGCTTTATAATTTTCTGTTTGGATCAAGCAATCAGATCACACTGTGTGTTCCAAAGCCCCTCTTGGAGTTTTGTTCCAAAAAGCTGCTTGTCATGGAATTTGTTGATGATTTTGGGTGTTCAATAGAAGATTCTTCAATCAGGACACAGGTCATGGATGCCATCAACAGATGCTTTACCAATTTGATTTTTAGATATGGATGGGTCCATTGTGATCCACATCTTGGAAATTTCAAGCTTGTCAGGCCAGCCTCTTGTGGCGAAAAGTACCAACTGGCCATTCTTGACCATGGACTTTACAAAGAGCTTTCCGATGATATTCGCAAGTCATATGCAAAACTATGGCTCTCGCTCATTGAGGGGGATGAACAAGGACTAATTGAAAGCCTCCATACGCTCTGTCCCGCAAGATCATCTACCTCAAGATACTCTGAGCAATTAGAACCATTGACCAGGGATGGGCAAAAGGCTCATCGACTGCTGTCCTCCGTCCTGTCCCGCAGATCGTGGAAGGCCCTTGAGTTTGGCTTCAATGTTTCCTCTTCTCCCTCATCTTGTGTTAAAAACATATCCATTACCCCTCTAATTACTCCAGAACGGCTAGGCCTCATCACATTTATCTTTGAATCGATACAAAGAGATCTTTTGCTAGTTCTTAAAACAAACGATCTTCTGGTTTCATTAAACTTTACGCTTTCTGATCCAGAAAAGCACGATCCGCTAATGAGATATATTGCCGCAGTTGGCCTTGCTTGTGCACACGCCTTGAAACCAAATTTTGACGACCTTAAGACCAGTTTCACGCCTATCTTTTTCTTTTCCTATGTGCAACGAAATTTATTTTATTATTTTAGACTGCTCAAATATCATGTTGTCAAATATATCTTTAGATTGTGATGGTCTCGCCGTATTCTATGTTATTCTTGTAAAAACTCTGAAAGGAATCTTGGGCAGATATCAAAAAGTAGAAATACCGGCCTGACACCTGCATAAAAATGCTCCAAAGCCAAAATGGGATGTGTGATGCCTGAAGGCAGATTCATCCTAGCCATGATTTTCATAAAGTCTATTGTGATAAATTTGGAAACCGATATTTTAAATTCTCGGCTGATAAAGTAATAAAGCCGAGCGATTGCCCTGAGAATGTATTTATGCGAGAAATACTCAAAGTTAGTAGAGGAATTAGCCTCAAATACGCCGCAATATGCCAGTAAAAGCAGCCCAATAAGAAACAGTAAGACTCCATTGAGGATATCAAATGAGCTAGTGCTAGTCATGTACTTGAAAAATGCAGGCATATAGCGGCTCGATTTGACTATTGAGGTGGTAATAGAAAGTAGCATCATGGCGCAAACCAACAAAAAGAGTGCATTTGAATCTTTCAAGTCCAGCAGTAGTTCCGATAAAAGGGATTTGAAAAAGTACCACATGCCACACCAAACGATGGACAAAACATAGGAAGCCATGGAAGGATCGCTACTACACTCGATTTGCAACATAAACAGCTCTAGGGCAGAGTTTATCACAACTCTTGCGATCATGTTGGGGAAGGTGATTGATTTGGAATATATTACACTGGCGGCATATTGCATTTGAGTGTGGGAGTCAAGAGGAAATATGGACATAACATGTACAATTAAAATGCCGTGGATGAAGGTAAATATCCAAAGCAAAAGGAGAGGATAAAAGGAATTGCACAATACCTTCAACACGCTGTTTGCGAGCGGAAATGGGTATATTTCTATTTTGGAAATGTCAAAGTTTGAAGGCAGCGAAAATACAGGATATTCAAGTGGACCCAAAAGCGGTTTGAAGATCCTGGTAAAAGAATATTTTGCGTGTGGATCTGAGGGCTCAGAAATGGCATTCTTTTCATACTCGCTTTTATATTTTGCATAAAGAATCGGCAGCAGCACCAGGATAAATACAATGACAATGGCACAGGAAGAAAATTTTTGTAAAAAGGCAAATATCCCGGACCGATAGACTCTCCAAAATAGGTAGTCGTGGAACTTTAGTGGAATCAACAAAAAATCCCTAAAAAAGGTGTAATTTACTGCCATATTTGAATGGAAAGCGGAAGAAATCGACGAAATATAAAAGCGAGTATGAAAAGAATGCCATTTCTGAGCCCTCAGATCCACACGCAAAATATTCTTTTACCAGGATCTTCAAACCGCTTTTGGGTCCACTTGAATATCCTGTATTTTCGCTGCCTTCAAACTTTGACATTTCCAAAATAGA